GGGATCCATTTATGGCATGCATTTACAATTTATCAAATAAATGGGATGCCTTCATGTGGCCTGTGCCTGCCTTTCAGGCAGAGCAGAGTAGTTTTCCACTGGAATAACAGCCGCTGAACAAGCAGCCCATTGTAGCTATAGCCAGCATTGGGACCCCCAAGGTGCGAATTAATGATTGACCCCTGATGTAATCAGGATAAATAGCTCCCCGTAAAAAAAAGAGAGAGAGAGAAAGAAAGAGATGGCCAGACAAACAGAGAGAGAGAGAGAAAGAACAACATAAGGAGTCAGGGAGAGGAAGACACTATCTGGGCTGGGTGGTTTTTAAGAAGCCCACAGGGAGGCGAACCCAACATCTCTTTCTGGGTCTTCAGAGACGCAGAACCAACACAAAGCTTTTTAGAAACAGCTCTGTCATCAGCGGTTTAACTCCCTGCCTTTTAACTCTGCCTTTTTTCACCGTCTTCTGTCTGGCTCCCTTCAGTATTACATATCCTATTTTTTGTTTTGTTTTGTTTATTAATATGAAAAGAGAAAAACTCTCTTGTGTGCTGTATTCTTAAAAGACGTTGTAGGAATTAAACATTTGCATCTAAAATTTTAATATAATAATATCTGGTTTTTTTTTACTTTTTCATAGGGCTCAATGAATGTGTTTTGTTGATTTAAATTAGAGCACTTTTACTGTCTGCTTAGTGTTTGCGTGTGTGTGTGTGCGTGTGTGTGCATGCGCGCAAGCAGAGGCCCTGAAAGCCATAGCATTTAATAGATTTTCCAAGCCTGTCTCTCTGCTTGTCAAAATTGCTCTCAATGGGTCAAGTGCCAGTGAGAGTCGGGGAATGAAGAGAAGGAGAGGGAGTGAAAGAAGTGTTTAACAGCCTGAGAACACTTGATTGTGTGGAGGGAGCAGCAGATAGGGCTGAGTTATAAAACTTTAATTGATCTGCGTAAAGAGTTGAAGCTACTGCTGGCTCACTTGTTCCAGCGCTTAATTGAACGCCTGGTCTGAACCCTTATGAAACTGCAATCATTAAAATAAAAGAGGGTTCTTTTCCATTCAAAATCACTAAATGACGCAAAATTCAGTCATAAAATGTTGGCTTTTACTGCCTTAGCTTTATATGATAAGTTTCCCAAACCTTTGTGGAGACACTGCAGGATTGCCAGCCTTTAAAAACACCATGTCTCAGGCCTGTATGGTTTCATGTTTCACATTTGAAACTTACATGTCAGTTAACAGTTTACATCGTGTAATAGACTCAAATATTTACCACAGAAGTAAAAAAAAGATGTCGCACAGTTATTTTTCTACAAATTTGTCCCTGATTACTTTTTCCCCTTTTTGGATTTCTGGTTAGTTTATTCAAACTTCCTCCAACTATTTTTTCTTTATATGTATTTGTAAGTATGTATTTGTATGTATTTAGAACGTAAAACCTTGTTGGTAATTTGACTAAAAACTCCAGAAAGTGTCAAAAAAAAAAAAAAGAGAAGGGAAAACATACATAGATTTAAATTGCATATCAGAACTTTGTAATTTTCTATTACTAATAAAATGCATGTTTTTTTTATTATTATGTATACTGTACATCACTGGTGATAATTTATTTTAAACCATATAATTATGTTTCACTGCTTATGTTCTGCACATTTATTGTTTTTCCACTTTTTCATGTTACAAAGCTTCTGTTTAAAAGAAAAATGTCTTAAAATAAGAAATTTAACTCACTCTCATGTTGTTTCACTTTAAGAATAAAAACCAAGAAATAATTCCAGCCCTCACATTCACAGAAGGTAATGGGAAGGCACTAATGTGCCAGATGTCACATATCACTCACCTAAATGCATTTGCACACGCACACTTACAAACTTTCTCTGTCCGCTATAATTTCCTTAATAACACACTGAGCAAAAGTGCCTGGAACTTGGAGCCAAATGTTAAATGTGACCATGCACACATAAAGCTCATCATCATTTTCACTGGTATGATCCTTGGGTGAGTGCACAATCATGTTGTCAATTCTTGGCTGTGAGGATAATAATATGAGGGTATGAGACTGACCAAAGCAGCAATAGATAGTATCATTATTTGCAAGAAGAGTTTTGGCAGAACATTGTGACTATGATGAAATGAAGATCTGTTCCCATCAAACTCTTTGCCAAGCTAAATCTTCTTCCCTTGCAAGAAAAGAGCATTTTCTTTCTGAAGATGTATGACTAATAAGTATTCATTAAATTTTGTATTTGCTTACTTCAGAGTGCTGTTTTCTAACAATTAAACAGTTGAACGTTATGAATTGTCAAACAGATATGGGCGCATTCATTTAGGTTTTTGTTAGTTAGTGTTTTAAATAATTTATAAATAAAATGTTTCTTCACGGCTATAGTCGTAAATCCCTCTTTCAAGCTAGCATGAACCATTCTGGAAGCTGGAGGGAGACGGGATGCCTTGTGCCTCAAAATGCCTTTTTGGATTTAAAGAGACWGCCTCAAAATGAGTTGATTTGAGACACACTTCAGAAAATGGATGAAAGAGGGGCTTGTGGAGTTGCAATAAGGAGAAATTTAAACCAAAGCATTGCAGTTCCACTTTTTATAGACCCTAGCTGAATCACTAAAATGTGAAAAAGTATTTAAAAGCATGACATGTCTACTTGAATGATTTTCTATAATCAGCATGTCTAAGTCTGCAGTTAAACGTTTGTCACAGAAAAGAAAGAGAGTTGTCTTCCCCTTCTAAACTGTTTAAATATGTCTCCTTTACAATATTTATATTTCTGGTGTTTTACCAAACATCTTGTCTCTTCTTCTCTAGATGACAGTGAGCCTATGGACAGCATGTATGACACAGAAGCCGACCTCCCGCGTGCAGCAGCAGGCAGTAGAGGTGGTCACGAAAGCCCAGATGACGACGCAGACGACGGCATCATTAACATGTCTCCTTTGCCCTCACCAACTCCATCCCATCCAAACAACAACCACCACCACCACCTGCTGCACCCTCACCTCTACACATCCCACCACCTCCACAACAGTAGCAGCAGCAACGACCAGGACTTCACCACACCCAAGGAAGGCTCCCCCTACGAGGCGCCCGTGTACATTCCTGACGACATTCCCATTCCCAGTGAGCTCGAACTGCGGGAGTCCTCCATGCCCGGTGCTGGCCTCGGCATATGGGCTAAAACCCGCATTTGTGCTGGCGAGAGGTTTGGTTTGCACAACCCAAAGCATCCAGGGCCCACAGGCAAGGACAACTCTTTTGGATGGGAGGTAGGATCCAGTCTGGACTCTGTGTTTATTTTACATTACAATTCACTCGTTATTGTGCATCAGTTTTTCACATTTTATGGCACAAACGCAGCAAGGCACGAAGAGAGAGGCTGAATACGTAATCGGCTCCTCATTCACATTTTCACCCATCACTCTTGATGCTCCTGAGCATATATCTCTTCATCCCATTTGCATCCCCTTTATGATTTGACCTCATCTTTGATCCTTGCACACGCACACACTTGCTCACACACGTACATATACACACAGCGTACACTAATTCACATCAGCACAGCAATGTCAGATGGAAAAATCTGGCTGATTAGTGGTGGTATCAGYTTTTATGGGCGTTGGTCTGAAGCAAGCACATTCATTTGGTCACGCCATCTGATATGGAAATGGAAGAAGCGTGGCCCAGTGCGGTGGCGGCATATTGAACTATTAATTTTCATTTCAACATGACATTAGAGGATATTGAAGTTGCTTCAGTAAGCTCATTAGGAGGGGGGAAAGGAACTCCTGGTCTCTGTCTCTCTCTGTCTCTCTTTCTCATGTGCTTAATCAGAGATGAAATATCCTGGCCTGTTTTTCATTTGACTGACTCCTTGACTTTTCAGTTTTAGGAGGTCAGTCATTCGCATAGTCTTATATTGCATTTGTAAGTGGTAAGAAAAAAAAACTAGGACTGTTTAATCATTTAAACATAATTCTGGACAGGGTAAGATGCAGTTTAATTAGACACCAAAAGTTTATATTAATTATTATATATTAGGGTGGCACTGTGGCTCAATTGGTAGAGCTGATGCCTCTCAGCAAGAAGGTTGCCGTTTCAAATCCCGGCCCGGGGACCTTTCTAGGTAGAGTTTGCATGTTCTCTCCGTGCATGCGTTGGTTCTCTCCGGACACTCCGGCTTCCTCCCACACACCAAAAACATGACTGTCAGGTCAACTGATAACTCTAAATTGTCCCTAGGTGTGAGTGAGAGAGTGAATGGTTGTCTGTCTTGTTTGTCTTTATGTGTGGCCCTGTGATGGACTTGCGACCTGTCCAGTGTGTACCCCCGCCCCTCGCACTGTGACTGCTGGATATGGGCACCAGTGACCCATGTGACCCTGAAAGGAATAAGCGTGTGCTGTAAATGGATGGATGGAAGTTTATTTTAACAAATATAGTTGATTTTCGAGACAATTTTTGCATTGCTAGATGCAATTTTGTTAAATATGTTATCTAATTGTGAATTTGAATCATGAAATTGTAAATATGGAAAAAAAAGTGATGGGTAAACTTTATTTCTATAGGACCTTTCATATGTATAAACATCTCAAAGTGCTTCACAGAAATAAAATTATCTAAAACAATAATGAAAAAAACAGAGAACAAGTAAAATCAAGAACAATTTAAAGAAACAGAAAGCAAAACTTAAAAGCTTTTCTGAATAAAAAATGTCTTTAGATGTTTCTTGAAAGAGTCATGAAGTCTATACAGAGAAGGGACAGTGATAGAGCATTTCAGAAGGGAAGGAACAATACAATTGAATGTTATCAGCATGCAGATGATGACACATTGCTGTAACACACTTCAGAATATACACTAAAGCAGGGGTCTGCAACCTGCGGCTCTGAGGCCACATGTGGCTTTTTGGTCCCTCTCCAGTGGCTCTTGAAAATGTGACAAACATGACAGAATACATTTTTTGTTTGTTTTTTATACTCACAAAAGAAATCAATTTATATGCAAATATGTGATCAATACTACTTATTTAAAAAGTAAAACGTTAGCTCAGGCTAGCCTGTTGTTTACTTAAATATTCCAATTTCTTTCTATGATCTTTCTCTCAAATCCATCAAAATTACCTTTAAATAATTTGAAGACTACATAATAGGAAGAATTAGGAAAAATTTGCCCGAATAACTCAGTTGAACTATTTTTTTATGAAAATTGGTATAAACTATATACAATATTTCCTTGTTTACATGAATATAGTCTTTTTATTTGTCCTTATGTGTATAATATTAAATAATATAATAATAATAACAAATTTTTTTTAGTTTTATAATGTCACCTCCATTGACCGTTAAGGTTCCCGAAAAGGCCCATGGACCACCAGTTGATAGTCATAGTCGTAGCTTGTTTTTGGCTCCGGACTAATTTTATTAGTGAGAAAAGGAGCACAAATGGCTCTTTTGATTGTAAAGTTTCCAGACCCCTGCCCTAAAGGATATAAATACAATATAAAGAGTATTGGGCCCAAAACTGAACCTTGGGGTATCCCACAACTATAATCAGAATTATTAAATGACTCATATTTACGGTATGTTCATTTAAATATCAAAGTTTCTTCCTACTGATACAACTCTGGGTCTGTGAAATCTTTTAACATGAAATGAAAGTGTTTGTGCTGCTAGCATGTGTACAGAATGTACACCTGATTTATAGTTTTACACAAACTTCCTACCTCTCTCATGTTCATGAGCAATACTGAAATTCTATTTCTTCTATTTCTTTCTATTTCTATTATGGTTTCAGTTCATTTTTATATAGTTTTCATCCCACCAGCTGTAAAAGTATGCAGGCAATTAAACACACCGTCACATGCTATGTGGCAGTATGCCAAGTGGAACATTTTTCTTTTTAAAGTTCACATTATGGTTGGCCTTTTAGGGTGAATAGGGCTTCTCTCCAAAAACTACACCCTGCCCATAATTCTGATGTTTTCTTCCAGTTTTCTCCCTTCTTTCAATGTCTCCCTAGACACCCAATAAATGCATATTCATCAGCCAAAAAATGCATATTCATCAGCTTCGCCTTGGCTCTTTGACTTTAGGAAAAAGGCCCCAAAGATGCATCTAGTCACACATTTCCCCAGAAAGGGAGACATTTAATTGAATTTACTGCTTAAAGTATTATTTTTATTGAGACACACTGCTTATTTCATCTTATTTACTTCACAAAAACAGCTTTTATTTGTAACTTTCAGTATTGTATATGCCAGTTGYATGTTACAATCCATTAGCCCAAATTTTAAGATTAATAATTACTCTTTAGGGGTGCTGCCTTGAAACTCTGTACATTTCCTAATTAGCTTGCATGTTGCTGTTGGTAGTTTAATTTCCCTTATCTGAATATCTTGATATTTGTATTCCAGTCACTTGGTACTGGATCCAATCTTTCTGTCTCCTGAATTTTGAATGATCATTAGAGAACTGATTATGTCTCAGACTATATATATAT